ACTGGTAGCAGGCACTGTTTATGTTTTTTCCAGTGATCTTAATCAGATGACGTTATGATCACCTGTGGAATTAGAGAAAAATTCCTGATAGGGAACTCAGTGACAGTCAGTCTGATTTAACCCCATTGGTGTGAGGGTCAGGAATCTTTATCTTGGAAAGTTGTCCAGATGATTCTACTATGTATTCAGGGCTAAGAACTACTGATTAGGGAAACACACTTATTGTGGAGTGCCTCAGGTTTGAAAAAACAAAATTCAAAATGGATCACTGAGAAATTTACATTTTTTTAAAAAAAATCAGATTCAATGTTGTAAGTTAAGGAACATAAAATATCTTCCAGGAAGGAAAACTGTTTTTTTCATTTCTGCAGTTCTAGCACACAGTGAAGTATTTGGTGCTTGATAGGCAATACATATTATCTGTGTTGACTTAAAAGAACAGAAGCAAACAAGAATCAAGCAAGTAGACATTGCACTTTATTTTCTCATGATTGATCTGTGCTAAAACATTAAGAACTTGTGGTTTTCTGTCTAAAATATTGAGTCAGAAAATGTTGACTTCTGTGTTTCCTGATGAATAGAAGGATAACAGATAAATTTATCTAATTTGTTTTCTTTGCTGATTGAGGCAAGACTTGCAATTGGATCACATAAATGAATTACTTCTACACTGTGTGACAAAGTAAATCAAACCTCATTAGATACTTAATATTTCTCAGATCTAACTACTCAAAACAGGTATTTGCCATTCTTTCCAACTTTGTATTTGGTTGCACCTTCTCCAGATAATCCATTCACTTGTGTATTATTTTCAGGTTGAAAATTTTAGATTGCTTTATTCCCAGGAACTCTGTACCTGGCACTTTATGGAGATTATTAAAAACCATCCTTTTGAAATTATTTAATTCCCTGTTATTTTCTTCCAGCAAGGTTTTATTTTTCACTCTGTGCCTTAACATCTTGGAACCTTCTGTCATGCCTCATGACATGCTCCCCAATCCATGTAGCATTGTGGGGAGCCCTAAAATTTTTTCAAGGTTATATTAGTGATCTTTAGTATTCTATCTTTGCAACATCACAAATCAGTACCACTTTCGCCTTTGGATTCAGAGAGGGTCTGGTTTAATTTCAAAAAATTTAAGTCATTTTGTAGTAAGTTGCAAGTTTTCCAAAGTCACGGGGAGATATGTTTGTTGGTGGGTTATGGAGTATCTTGAAATGCTGAACTCATAGAGACTGGCATCATGCTATATCGCCTAACTCGTGTATTTTTTCCATAGGAATGTCCATTTGTTTTTCGCCCATGAAAACCTTGGGAGATGTGTTCATTTTCTAGGCTCTAGCTTTGAATAACTTAAGAGAGTCTGTGCATGAAATCCCTCACCTTCATGGCTAATATCAAATGATTATACTAAAACTTGTATTGTTTTTCTTGCTCAATTTTAACATTTGCTAAAAGTAGTCATAATCACATTTCAGGTACATGTCTTTTATGAGCTCGAATGCTAATGAGTATGTGAAAGAGCATGTGTCAAATTCATGGCATAAAGTATAGTGAGCACCTCTTAGATATTACTATTGTGACTGTCATTCAGTAAGCCATTCCTAGCATGGTAAATCACTGGACAAATACATCTATATTGCCTTGATGCGGCTTAAAATGCATATCATCTGGGATTAATTTGTCTTTTTTCTCCCTGACTTTGTTTTTTAAGAACCTCTTCAAAGTAATTTGTAAGGGTTAACAAAGTTTTCATACATCTGTCAACTTGTCACTTTGTTTTCAGCAAGCTTGAATTTCCTCTTTTGCTCATTACTTTAAAAAAATACAAACTTTACAAATGCTAAAAGTCTAACACATTTTAAAGTACATCATATTTATATAATTAGTTTTTTTGACCATTTAACACTCCTGCAATCACAAATTCAGATGGATTAGCATTTGACTTATGTCAGAGTAGGAGCACGGGAAAAAAAGGAGCACTTAATTGGAATTTCACAGTGATTTCCACATAAATCAGTTTAAACAAGGTGTTTTAATGTATAGCAATCAGGAATTGACTAATCTGTGTAAGTATGTGTGTCAAGAGATAATTTAAAGAGGTGGAGAAACCCTACACAATAGAACTCCAAGCCTGGTCATGTCACAAAGTGTGAAAGCTCATTCTTTAGCCAAAACTAGAGCTGTTATTGTAGATTTCGTTTATATTTTTGTACACAAACTGTGAAAACTGCCTTTTTGGTCAGAACTCTCACAAGAGGTAATATATAGCAGTATAACAGACTGTTGAATTAAAGCTGTTTTATGGTTAGATTTAATACTAAAGCCAGACAGCTTCAAATCACTTTCATCACAAATGAATTTAAGGGATCACTTGTCTCAAATAAAGGATTATTTTTTAATCCTTTACTTTTCCATTTTTAAGGCTGGAGCTAAATCAAGAAACATTTTGGATAGAATGGGAAAAGTTATTTATGTATATTTTTTCATTGTTATTTTAATGATATAGTATATAGTCTTATTTTCTATATTCTGTATTGAGCAACAATTTGCAAAAATACTTTTTGGTATTTCCAGCTAACATGGTAAATATTTAATTTTATATACATAATGCAATATTACAAGATCATTTTCTTTTTTTCTTCTACCTCAAAAAAACTAAAAAGGAAAGAGTGAGTGTAACAGTACAATAACTATGACTTAATTATTTGTAAAATGTTTATTTTGGGGGAAATGCATTAGGTAAGAGAAAAGCTATTATAATGAGCAACTTTTAAGCTTAGAAATATATTTCCATTTTTAAAAGTAACACATAGATATATAGTAATGGAAATATTGGTCTGCCTAAATCTTACCATCCTCTTGTAGTTTAAAGTAAAATCCAAATGAAATGATTTATCACTTTTATGATGGTTTTATAGTCAATGTTAGAACATTTTATGGCTATGAAACTTAAGAAATTTACTGAACTTTTTAACTCCCCAAATATTCTCTCCATATCTTTGTTTTGTTGCCTTATTTTCAAAACAGTACTAAAACGAACACTTTATTCTTTGGAAACTCAAATATTAAATAAAAAGTTGCTTTTATAATGCTTGCAATTTTAAGACCTTACATCCTGTTTTGATACATCCTGTAAAGAAATTGATGAGGGACTGGGATATAGCTCAGTGACATAGCGCCTGCCTGGGAAGCAAAAGGTCCTGAGTTTGATTCCAGGTATAAAAAAAAAAAAAAAAAAAAAAAAAGAAATTGATGAAAACAAGTCCATACTTCTCATTTGATTGGAATTTTAAGTCTAACATTACTGTGTTCTTTGAAAGAGTATATAACCATATCAAAACAGCATTTTCTAATGTTACTAAGAAAAAAATTTCCATTTGAATGTGAAGGGAGAATAATAAAAATGTTTATTTTGAACTCATGTTTTAAATTTGAAACTCATCAGTTTTAGTAGGTACCATATTTCAGGGTGTGTTGGCTTTTTGTTGTTGTTATTTATTCATTTATTTATTTTAATGTCCTGGGGATCAAACTTGAGGCCTTTATGCTGAGCTACGTCCCTAACCCTTTTAAGCATGCTTAAATTTTTAGACAAGGTTTTGTCAAGTTACTAGTTGCTTAGGATGGGCTTGAACTTGATTCTTCTGCCTCACTCTTTCAAAATCTTGGAATTACAGGTGTGGGCCACCATCCCCTGCTAGGCATTAATTTTTGATCCTCATTTTTTCCCTAGGAAAATCAGAGAAATTTGTAGTTTATTTCTTCAATTACTGAATTTCTTCCATTACTGAAAATTGGGCTAGTTTTTAATGTGTTAGGTACTCTGCTGGGTATGTAATGATAAAATCAAGTGTCCCCCTTTAGGAAATCTTAACCCATACCTATATTGTATTAAAACCATTGTATTAAAGCACATGATGTATTTGAGGCACTTAAACCAAATCTTGGCACATAGTGAGTTCTCAATAAAGGACAGTTATTATTCATAGTACATGACGTTCTTTATAGCTGTTTTTCATGTACTGAGGAATGGAGGTTAAAATTTTATCTAAAATATTAAATTCTAATGAAGTGATTTATCATTTCTATGTTGGTATGTCAAAATAGCAGAACTCATAATAACCTCAAAAAATTTGTAAAACATTTTGAACACCAAAATGTCTTGTTTTTCATACCTTTGCTAAAAGAGATATCTTTTGAAAATTTATGAATAACATAAAAATAAAATGAGAGGAACAGAATTATGTGGAAATTCACTATATAGCAAACACAAATGCTTTTGGATTAATTTTATATTTTTCTTGAGATAAAATGTTATTTTTAAAATACTTCAAAATATGTAAATAAGATCAGAAACAGCATTCTTGTTACACAACTACACAGTAAATTAACTGTTGGCAACTTGGTATTCCAAGTAACTCTATATTTCAAGTAACCTGAACATAACATTAAAGCAATATAATATCTTTAAAAATTTAATGTAAGCTTATAACATTAAAATAGTTTTTGGAAAGTAAATATTTAGAGGAATTTAATATAATCCATAGTCACATGAGTCTATTTAAATTAAAGTTAATTTAGATTAAGAATTCAGTTATCTTGTCACATTAGGCACACCTCAGAGCTTAGTCAGTGTGTGTGACTAGTCGGTATCGCTTTAGATAAGGTAGAACACTTCCATCATCACAGATTGTTCTTGGATAGTGTTGCTGTAGGACTGTTAGATACTTACTATTTATAATTATGACCACACCAACTAGGAAGCATGGTGGATGATAGTGTGAGTCTTTCTACCGTATCTTCCAAATATTGATGCAATTATTTGGCAAGCACTTTGGCCAATTATGGGTACTTAAAATGACTTTCAGTAAAAGTTATAACTGAGTAAAGTCTGAGGAAATGAAGTCCTTTTTACTCGATTACATTCAAGAAACTAAAATGTTGAATATTGTCTGAAAGAAATGGTTAATCATCAAGATCAATGCTTTTTCCACAGTGCCTTCCAAACCCTTTTTTCTGAGTGCTCCGCCGTTCTACTCTTCGTGCTGCGGTGGGTCCTGTCGGCGTCCTGTGTCCCCCACTGCCTTTCCAAGTAAGTTTTTAATGCTTCATCAGCAATGCCTCAGCTATTCTGTAAGCCAGAGCAGCAGGATTTAATGTGCTCAGGGAAGCTAATTGGTAATGCAGTGGCAAGGAGCTAATTCCTCACTAAAAATCACAGGGATCCTATTCAGGAGGTTTCCAGAGATTTATCAAATCTCAACACAGTGAGCAATTGTGAGTGGTTTCTAATGGCATTGAAACCCAGGGCTGACACACCAAGGCAAGCCACTTGTTTCCCATTTGACATAAAAGATCTCACAGGGACCAGTTTGGCTCTCTCTGAAACATGTAGCAGCACTCTAAAGAACAGGAAAAAATAACAAGTAAGAAATTATGTTGTGTAAAACTTCTACCCAGTTTAAAAAGTGACACAGAAAGTCACTAGAGTTCTGTGGAAAATAATTACAAATTGTCAAGATCATAAAAGGATAAGTCCTGTTTATCTCTAGAAAAAAACCAACCAGAGCTGTGGGAAAGGTTTCCAAGGGAACGTTAGAAAACATAAAAACCGAAGTTTTGTAGTCTGGAAGTAGAATGAGAATGACACACTTTCCAAAACTTATGGTACAGGCGCGCACATGTGAATGCAAAACTCACATTGCTCTTGAGATATCTAGGTAGAATAATAATCTGTCGGCAGAGAATTTGAGGTTATGATAAAGCAGTCCAGTGGAAAGATGCATTTATTTATTTCAACTGCCCAAGAGGAAAAAAAAATTGCACATCGAGGTTAACAGCTCTGTCAGGTGACAAGTGAGGTGTCGAGCCAGAGTAGAGCCCAGAGCTCCATCACAGTTCAGTTCAGATTGCTGCTGCGTCTATGTCTGTGTTTTATGAATGTTTCTGGAGAGCAGTCGCTCAGCAGAATGGTTCCTGACAAGTGAGGCAGCAAATACTGGCAGTTTAATGAGCTGCGAGTTTCTGAGCATCTCTTTAAGGGGGCTGATACTTTCCCACAGAGCACTTTACATGACTGGGACCTGGCCACAATGGGTGACAGACCCGTGACCAATCTTCACTTTTACTTGACTCATCCACACGCGACCTCACCACGATTTTTCACTCTGCAGATGAACTTTAGGAGCCATTTCACATGGAAAAGACTTGGGCAAGGGTCAGTTGCCCTTTTGTATGGTCATAAAGTGAGGCTCTGTGTGTCAGTCTTTTCTCCTGTCTCACATTCCAAGTGAATTTCTGGACATCATTTAAAGCACTTGACTGAAAAATAAAGCAGTGAATGAAACTGACTTTTATAGACTCATTCTAGCTCATCTTCCCATATAACTCTGTCCACCTGAAAAGGGATTTAGTGGATGAGCTGAGTGTATACAGGGACTTGCTGAATGCATAGGGCCTATTATCAACTGTGGGGATTGTTTATTAACCAAGACTGATACACTACTATTTTTGAAGTGACCTATTGTCCATTTAACTAGAATGTATTGAATTTAAATACAAAAATAGAAACCGTGACTAAACCTTTTACTTGCTCCTTCAAGGTGGTCTGCTATGAGGGTGATTGAAAACTGTTGTGCAAATTAAGGAAACATTTATCACCGTATATTAGAGTGTAAGGTAAAGACTTTGGGAGTGGAGGCTCAAAACCTAAATATCTGACATCTTATCATTGTGGCTTCTCTGCGGAATTAAATGTTTTCTGTTAGATTTCAAGAGAGGAGACTGAAATTGGTCTCACACTCAGTTTGGTTTATTTCACCTTGATGTAATACATCTTATAAATCTCTAGTGGTACAGTTCAGATAAAGGGAAATGTGACAAAAATAACAGGTGACCATATTTATATATGTGTGTGTATTATTATTTTATAGTGGTATTTTAAGACTTTAAAAAAGTTGCATCAGTTTAGTTGCTAGAATACATAAAAAGTAATACTAAAAATATTTCCTCGATAACTTCATCTTCTGTGCTGCTTTAAAAATTACTTTAAGCAGGTGTCATTTTCTTCCATCTATTTCTTAACCCTTCCTACTTGGTGCCTTTTGCATAACTGTTGTAAATTAAGGTATTTGTCCTTGGAGGTATAAAGCCCTACATTTATCTTTTAAAAATAATCATACAAGTGGAAAGTCAGTGTAGTTCAAATCAGGGATAGAAAGTGCTGCCTTTGGACTGTCTCCATTTCTAAAGTTGGCATTTAAAAAGTTTAACATACCACAAGTGTTTTTAATAAATATCTGTATCTCATATTATTAGTTGTAGCTCTGAAATGAATTTCTTATTTTTCATTTGTAATATTCATTCATACTGGCAGCAACTAATAATAAAATAGTGGATATCATGCTGTCAATAAGGAATTTTACATAAATAACCATGATACCAAAGACAGTTAATGAGGTTTACATCTGTACAATCTTTTTTTTCTTCCTTTTTTTTTTTTGGTAATCTTTTTTTTCTAAAGGTTTTACTAGATTTTTTTAAAACTAAGGGTGAAATTTATGCCCAACATTTTAAATTATTTTCCATTGCACATAAGAAGGAAAATGAACTGTCCAAGTCAACTTATATTAAGCTTCAATTCAGACAGCCAAAATTTAAGTTTATACTAAAATTTTTAATAACTGATAAATCAGTGGCTCTCATCATTGTTTCACAATGTTGATTTTACCATCCAAAAGTATAGAATCAGATGAACACATTTGTAACAGTGTAGCTGAAATATATTTTTGACACTTTACATGAGTCATTTGTTTAATATGGATTCAGTTTTTCCTCTTAGATTTATTGTCAGTTCCTTATTGCAATGTGGAAACAATCATTCATTCAGTGCCCTTCTCACATGCAGTAAATGCTTTAATAGGCTATTAAAGCTCAACCCTTACAGTGGAGAAAATTAAAAGGCAGTGGTCAAAGTTTCTCCCTCCCCCAAAGCAGTGCATGGAAAATCTGTTATTATATGCATAAGGTTCTTTTCAAAATAACACATTTCTCAGTTAAAATTAAAGGTAAAATTGTGGAGATTAATGCAGATAGTAACTTTTAGGAAAAAATCATCTGAAAAACATAGGCATCTTAATTATGTAGGCCAGCTAATTGAATTAATCAGAAAATTATCTCATTTTGTCTTTGAGTACCCAACTTGAATTTGACCTTTTAAGACTTTTATACCTTAAAAGACAACACTTCAATTTGGAGCAACATCATGAAAATCTGAGCAGGGAAAATATTCCTGTGGGACAAACTACTCTGTTTTCTTGGGAGATGAACTTGTTTGAGTTTTTTTTTAAAATCATTTTCCTTTCTTGTTAAGATTTGAGAGAATGTTTGACTTCAGGGTTTTGTTGAAAGTAGTGGCAAGGCACAGTTATTTTTATTGGGCATTTAGGTTGTTTCTGTGAATTTCACTGTCAAAGATGGAAAATGCTGTAATTAGTGTTCTTGTCACCTGACCTGGCTGTTTGTTTGACCGCTTTCAGCTGGAGTTGTGAGTGGACCATATGAAAACCACAAAACCCACACAAATCCTCCTATATATCAATGTATATATAGATACGGATATTTAGATATAGTTCTCTCAGTAAAGGGCTCAAGGGAATCCTTTTTTTTATAATATAGAAGCCCAATTATATTGTACGAAACATTTAGATTTGTTCAAAAGTTGAATATAGGTATTGACTTCCTGAAAGTGAAGGGCAGGTAGGTGTTCCATAGATAAATGACATTCAGTCAACCAAAAAGAATGTTTGGAGGAGTCAGAGACTCAAAGACAAGAGATTTTCCAAATTGATGGCTCTATTCAGCAGTTCTAGGGAGGCAGTGAAAGTATTGGGGTAGCCTTCCTAGAATGGAGTTCCCTTTTCCCCCAGATATTCGGTCCAGAGGGTGATGGGCTGCTTAGCAATCCAAAGTGCTTGTCCTTGATTTTGTCTTAATTGCTTTGCCTGAGCATGACGTGAAATGTAATAGGGTGGCTTGTAAAGCGCTGATTTTAGCTTCCCATTAAAGAAGTATGCACATCTGATATAGGGGAAGGTGAGAATAGGCCGAGTGGAGCAAAGCAGGAAAGGAATGTCCTGACAGGGCATGAGGATGTTGGGTTGTCCTTTTAGCAGCTGTCCATGCACACAAAGGAGCTGACAGTCCTTTCTCTGGGTCAGATTTTCTATACCTGTTCAGTTCTGAAGACCCACTTTAGAAGATACATGAGCAAACTCACAGAAAAACCAGTTAAGAGATAGATATCCACTAAAACAATGAAAGCTCTCTGTGACTAGTTAGCAATCCTGAAAGGACTTGAACAGTTGACCTGGAGACAAGAAATGATAGGGAGTACATGATAGCTACCTTTAAATTAGATATACTGTATAAAATGTACATATAAATAATAAAATTAGCACTAATGAGTAGAATTTAGAGGAAGTTAACCTTGAGCTTGATATATGGGAAACATAGCAAATCAAGCTTTGTGATACAGACATATGTAGTATCTTAAATAGTAGAGGTCTCAGGATAAACTTTTCTTTCTCTAAACTTCATGTCCACTGAAACTACACACACACACACACACACACACACACATACTGAAAATGAGAGTAAGGAAGCTCTTCATGGGAGAGAAGATCCTGAGAGTAGCAGATGAGAAGTTTCAATTGTTGCTGCATGAAAAGATGAGCCCACAGACAAGACCTGCTCCTCACTGGAGGAGAGTGTCCCCAGGCAGAAAAGACACACACTGGAAGGTTTGAGATAACACAGATTTGAGGAAACAGTTAATGGAAGCTGATGACATTTTAGCCGATTTGTTGTAAAGACCTGGGGACAGACGGCCTCTTGGCTCTTTCAGTTCTGAGAAAACTGAGGGTCTTGAGGGTCCCTTAAAAGGATGAAAGAATTTCGTTTCTGAAAAGGCTGGTAGCCTCCATCTTGAGTAGTCTTAAACGGGAGCCTGGGGTAGGTCTTGATTCAGTGATGCTTCATGCACTTGATATTATCTCTGTCCCTACAAATTCAGAGGAGCACTGAGGTGTGCAT